CAATCAATGCATTAAAGTAAATGATACTCCTACATGGTGCAGCACTTTGCCCATTTTTTCTGTTGAGTATTGTTCTACAATTCGTCCAAGACAGAGTGCAATATGTATCTTACAAGAATGGACGTCGCATGCGCTAGCTTGACTCAAAGGTGGAAGAAGAGAATTAGGAGTCAGGGTGTACAAACTTGTATTTGAAATTTAGCGCCAGCGCAACCTGTCGCGTGCTCATGAGCCCGTGAGCTTATAGATGCGTTGTAGGAATGGGGAAATTCCGATGAGGTGTCAATATGCGGCGACCGTTAAAAAAGGACGACATTCGTATGCGCGGTGTGTGTAAAGCTCTTGAAGAAAATACTTCATCTTGAGGATAGAAGACGTTAGGTGAAGCATTCAATCTTTCATTAACTAATGCCGGTGTAGAAGGTTAGAGCTTCGCTCGAGACCAAACAGTAAAGAGCAATGTATTTGCGCCCTCTAGTTACTGCATTATGCTATTCGCCGTAGAAGCTGACACCAATGACTCAGACCTCTGTCACTTACATGGTACTAGCTACAATATATGCATGTGTGATACAGGCGCTATGTATAAATACCCTGACGATGAGTTAATAAGTGTAGCATACAGGGTACGTATACATAAATACAAGTGTATATGTGTATATATATGCACACCCACACACACACATCCAACGATATGAAGACGGCCGAAATATGCTTACAGCTGGTAGGGATGTACTCAAAGTCCAGAGGGTACAGACAGAGGAAACAGATTTAAATTAAAATATAATTTACGAAACTGTAACATCAGGGTCAGAGAAAAACTGCACCACAAAACAAAAATCACAGATCTTTCAGTCGGAGTTACTAATCTATAGAAAACTCTTTCAGTTAGTGCTTTTGTGATCATTATTATGTAATAGAAGCTTTTGGAGTAGTTCTAGTTCGTTAAGTACCTAAAAACACGGATGACGTAGCTATCAGGCCTAATTTAAGGATCGGTGTCTAGAACCACGAGTACAAAAGATTAACTATAAGATACAAGGGAATCGTCATTTTTTAACTTTAAACGTATCACGGTAGACACATACGTGAACAGTTGTTACAAGATGTTAGCCGTCTCGCTTTGCCTCGTATATACATATGTTATGAATTGTTTACGGTAATGTTTGTTGTTTCAATCCCAAAACTATAAAAATCAGTAATTTCATTAACCATATGTTGCACAAACATGATTGAACTAGTAAAGATTTAGTGTAGCGCGTTTCGCCCTAAGGTTATCTACAGAATTTTACAGCAAAAGCAACATAGGAAGCTTAACGTGTAGCGTATTTGTCTGGGCATCTCACGAACACATTGTGGTCTGGGTTCGAACTTGGGCGTACACATACTTAGTTTTGTATTAGGATGCTTAACGGCGATACCGGTCGTAACACTCGAAACATACAGGCTATCGGAGGATAGAAACATACGCATTTCCTCATTGGTCTGTGAAAGATTAAATAACCTAAGAGTAAAATTTAAGATATCAATAACAATGACATCATAATTTCCCACACTGCAAGTGACACTATTGGCATAGTCATGCAAAAAGGGTTCGACCTTTTCGCATCATTGCATTTACAAACATACGTGCAGATAAGCAGTAGTGCAAAAGGGACGCTGTGTCGAGATCTCCGTTACCCTCTAAAATCATCCACCGTATTTTACTCTTTCGAAGTCATAAGTACACCGGACAGAAGTACCCATAAAGCGGAAAGTTCAGAGGACATTTGAATATAGCGCTTTCTGCTTCCCCTTTCCAGCCCTTCTTTTATTCTTCTATTTTTGTCCTTTTCAATTCCTTATACCTTTCACTGTTCATTTTGCTATTAGCCTTTTTAAAACGGGTTCGTACGATTAGGATTAAAACCGAACTTTAGCAGGCCGTCGGCCTTCTACGCTAGCTACATTACAAACGGGCAGCGCTCTCGTCCGACCAGCTGTTACAAAAGTCTTTGCAGCATAATTTTCACTTCTACTACTCATTCTTCTATGTCGTCTAATTTGGGACTATTCCTTCATTTCCTGAATTTTCCATTCTCTTATGTTCATGTGTAGCAAACAGTTTTTCCGCCATGCTTCATTCACGGTCTGGCCTTTGGAACTTCTTTAAGGTTGTCCAACGTCACTTCCCAGGTGTCTTCGTTCAAGGCAACGATCGTGCTCCCTTGACGCAGACACGCACACACTATTCAGCATCAATCTGCCGACTTCCAGAAGCCTCCAAGACAAGGTTCAAGAAGTCCGTCTTTCCTGCAATAGCTGTCCTGCCTGAATGATCTCCTGCAGTCGCTGCCTCCATTACTACCACCCCCCTTAAGAAGGTAACCGGTCGCCAAGAGCCAACGGAGTCGTCCAACCGTCCTGCTTTTGGTGGCTTTCCGTCTTAGCTTCCTCAGGACCCCTTCCCATGTCGCTCTATCCAACTATTATATTCCTCCACTCAATGCAGTAAAGAAAAGAAGAAGCCTATTCAGTTATTCAGTGATGGCGGCGGCGGCCGCAGTCGTAGTATTCCGCTTCAACGACTTGCACCAACTTTCGTTCGTTTTTCTTTTCGCTTACGTTCGTGTTCACGTCAAGAGGACTCTTATGCGCAGCGCAGTAGCGCTAGGGACTAAAACGAAGCACACACAAGAGGGGAACCGGCGAAAGAGAAGGGAAATGCGGAAGCAGGGTAAAGTGGAAACTGCGGGCAAGTTCAAGGTTAATAGGACATAGATACCCGCAATAGTGGCAGTAGTTTTGTCACCAGGCAGTTGAATTCTTACAGAACTAGCAGTGTGGTAGGCCGGGCTCCATCACGCCGGAAACCGGCTGCCGGAGACGCTTCGTCGAACTGCGCCGGCTGCGCAATCGTCAAAGATCATAGTTCAGCAATAACACACATATATACAGATGCACAGATGTATTTCTCCGCGTATACTAGCGCGCATATACGTGTATGTCTTGGTGAAGTAGTTTCGCTTTCGTAGTTCATTTGTGTAATGACAACGGCATGGCAAATAGCGGTACTTCGAAGAGAACAAAAGTAGAGGGAGCCTTGGGAAAAACATTCGTCTGCATCTTCAAAGAAAGTGAATAGATGTTAACGAAGTGATCGACCTAAGTCGACGCAATACATGATCAGCAAGCAAACGAAACGTTCTTAATGAAATTGATTCCGTCGGCCTACTAATGATGTTTTTTGTTGCTCCTGGTAACTCCATTGTAGTAAATGCAACACGGGCAGCCACGAGAGAAAAGCTAATGGCAAAGGGACAGAAAAGCAAAGTATCCATTGCTTGTTATAATCACTTCTTCGGAGGATACAGTATTACTTCTAGTGGCTACGTCTGACATTTCTGAAGCACCAGTGGCAAAATGCTTTCATGTATATATATATATATATCGAGCACATCAAAGGGCTTCGCTAAAACCTCGCAAAGAGTTACCTGAACTACGAAGTGCAATATATCTTTGTAAACACAGAATGAAATTATATCTCTTGGTCTGGTGTAGAAGAGGCAACATGCGTATAATTCGATACGTATCTAAGCAGCGTAAACGGCACTAAGCCACGTATTGTCGATATCTTATGTTAAGAACTATTGAATTTATAACTGCGTTTTTAGATGCGCATACATTGTTGGTGTATGTTGTCTTAATCCAGCGGAACGTGGGGGGTATCTAAAAGAAGTATAGCGGTAAATAATGTGTCGTGAAACTGTCTCATAAAATTTATACCATTAATGAATTTCATTGTTTGTTTCTAATGTTACCATAAACAAATTAAGTTCTTGTAACGTTTAATTTTCACAGCATTCACCATACTTTTTACTTTGTTACTGCTTTTTTGTGCATTTTTGGCTCGCTTCAATGCGTACCTACTAGACCAAATCTGGCTTGACCTAACTCCTAATATTTTTGACAACTCTGACAGTTAGTAGTTCCGATAGTTAAATTTCGTTAAAACTTATCGCAGAAAAGGCGGATATTAGGGTATACATTAAAAAAAAAAAGTTAGAGTATGTTCGATTCATAGAGGAGGAATGATGAAACTAAGCTTCTAGGAGGTTTCTAGGAACATGGCAGCAAATGTCATGCTTTGATAAAAAAAAAGTTGTGCTAGAATCTGCAAAATTGCGACGCCGACTAAATCCGTTGTAGCAACGAGTTAGGTGATGTCAGAACGAAAAAACATCATAAAGTTTATTTTTCTGCACACTACTGCTTATACAGGACATAAATTTACAGTCGGTTACTTGTTTCCAATTAATTAAGTCTTACTTTCTAGCCAAATGCAATACAGACATCAATTTGATTCATCGTCCCTCTTCCCGCCCCCTTTTTCCGCTTACGGTGGTGATGGTCTAGAACTATCGCGTCTCAGCATCGCCTAAATGCTGAATGCAACCTTGCCTCTTACTCACTGACCATTTATACCACCACGTGCTGTCTAGTATAGGCCATAATTCTGATGCCTGTGTACGTATATTTGTGGGCCGATTAGTTGTTCAGTCATTTTCTCTAGGTATGTCACCGTAGCGATGTTATCGGCTGTCCGTACGTGCCGGCGTACAACATTAGACCCCAGCACTGTAATTTATTAAGCCGGCAAATACTTTCGTATAATGCACACGGCTATGCCGTGCGCGTGCGTATGCCACGTGTTATAGATCAGCTTGACTAAGTCGTCATTACAGGTAAGTCATTAATTATCTCTTTGAAAAAATCGTCTGTCTTGATCTTGAACAGCGTAGGCAAACAATAGCGCCCCCTTTACTTCGCATCTACCTTTGTTGACTATGTACGCTCAGTTGCAACTGCTGCTGGTGTGGCCTTTTATCGTGTACGATGCGAATTTCGCGCTAATGGTGAATCAGAATGACCGATCAGCCGACTCGTCGGCTAGCTGACTGATAAACCACCACGATTCTCCTCTCCTAATCGTTACCGCCTGATTCACCAAGACCCAGAGCCATACGTGGCGATAGCGGCAGTGGCAACAACGCAAGCAGCATTGCCCTCATCAGAACCGCCAAAGGGCACTCTAAGAGTGTGAGCCCACTACGATTCTTCAGTGGGACTACAGCTACAGATTTTTTCTATCTCTGAGTAAGTGGCCATCGCATTGGTTTGCAATCGACAGTAGTAGAGGTAGGCACTATGCTTTCCAGCTGCTAGCGCTGGTCGCATTTACCGGTAGCATTAGAACAAACTACTGAGAGCTTATGTTGATGCGGTAGTGCTGCCAACACCGTCAGCGCCCTCTTGTTGTCACGGTTGTTGATCTGTTCGTGGACGACAACGAGGAAAAGAAAGTCATTACCACTGACGCCGCCAGTCTGTGTCGCGTAGCATCGAGCACCACCTTTACTATATACCTAACGGAGGTACCAGCATTTCGCGTAGAGGTACATTTTTTAATGCCCTTCGTCCTCTTGTGGGAAAAGCTACATGGGCGCCCTCTATTTGGGCTGTGGCCCACTCGGGTCGTCCGTGGTTGCTCGTTCTGTCTGTTGGCAGATAGATCGTCTTCTGGTGGCGTTTCGTTCTCTCTTGAGTAAATTGACCGACCGTGGTCGTTGTGTGCTGCGGTGGCGCATCGTCAACAGTAATCCTACAGCCGGTTCAGACTCTTAAGTCCATCTAACCGCGAGTTGTGGCAGGCTCACTGGGAGGTTCAGACCATACCGATAGACAACCAAAACGCACTGCCAACACCATCACTAGTGCTGGTACCGGCCCCCTATTCGCTCTATTTTAGGTTGGCTGTCGCTAGTTGCTTTCTAGCTTCGCTGGCTTGCCGTGGTTGATTTCTGCCGTGCCGTGTGCTCAGTGGGGAACAGTTCGCTTCTTGTTGCTGCTGTATCCGCTACTTGGCTAAAGAGTGAGTGCTGGATTTAATGGCAGTGACAGCGACTTACTTGAGTGCTGAACCTGCTGGAGGTACGGCTGATGCTACACGAACGTGCTCCGCTAGCGTCTAGAGACCAACCCAACGGGAGATTGGATGTGGCCTCCAAATTAATCAAATTCTCCTGTGGAATAATTCAGTGATAAAAGACCTGTTCATTTTCTGTTAAACTCTTGATCGTCTGTTCATTTTTGAACTCGGTGTGTATATATTTAGGGATCTTGTGAGTAGCAGCTCGCATAGTGGCGCTTGAACGGGTTCTGGGCGGCGATCCCCAACGTACCTTGTATCGTTATTCAAAATCTGATTCGTTACGCCCAGGATACAAATTTAAAGCACGGGCATTCGATGTGTGCTTCGGCGTTGATCAATTTTAGTGACGTTTCCATTAATCGCGTAGGAACGGGTACGGGATCCTCAGTGACCCTGTAGAAATAACTTCTGATACAATCTCTACCTGGTCGACGTCAGATTCAGAAAGGTATAGATCTGGCCCCACAATGTCAAGCGCGTGGCAACAGCTTGAGCAACTGCTCACCTGTGCAATATGTATGGACAGATTCAAGAACCCTAAGCTCTTACCATGTCAACACACATACTGTGGCGACCCGTGTATGGAAGGTTTAGTGGATTACGCTCGTCGACAGATAAAGTGTCCCGAATGTCGTGCCGAACATCGCATACCCTACAATGGCATACAAACCTTGCCAACGAATGTAACCCTCATGCGTTTCTTAGAACTTCACCGAAGTATCACAGGTAGGTAGCATTGCGCAAAGACTCAATATATTGATTTATAATAGACAAATATGCACGATAGGTCTTCATGTAATTCTGTCCCTAGAAGGTTGGTTTTTATATACATATTTAGATTTAATTACCTGATACAGCGAATTTGGTTCAGTGTTCTGTGTCATCGTTAGAATAACCAAAGTCTGTGACGGAATCAAAGCTTTCACCTCCTTCATTGCAACTTAACTGAGGGATATTCTAGTAAATATATGTGGTAATTAGTTTCTAAGTGGATGAAAAAAATGTATCACAGATTCAAAGCATAAACAAATCTCCCTTAAAATCTATTTCATATTATGCGCTTAAACACACAGGCTTTCACTATCTCATATCTCGATAAACTTTTCGGCTATTTGCTAAAAATATAACAGAGCTTGAAAATATGCGATAAGACAGTCGTAAAGTTACATAAAATAAACAAGGATTACATATTGCAAATTGCTAAAATTATAAAAAAATTAAATAAAATAATTTCGATAAAACTCTGTAGTGAATAGATTTTACAATCTATTCATTACAGAGTTTTTATGGTTTTTATAGTTTACATGGTTCGATGTCAACAAGGTAGTCTCTCGAGATAATATAAAGGCTAAATATAATATTAGAAATATGCTTCTTTTTTTTTTGTTATATTAACATGCATATGTAATAACGCAATTACCTCGTAATGGTAATGCTTCTGCCGCCATATTTGTTGCTACTACACAAACAAAAAAACAGGAAATCCATTGGCGTTACATTTCTCAAACCCTCGTTGAAGGGTGTCAGTATCAGATAATAAGATATAGTGCCCCGTAAATAAAAAATGATTTCACAATAGTTTCATCAAAGTTCTTTGTTTTCCTCAGCCCACTGATTCACCAACAAAAAAAAAGGTCTGACTTGAAGGCCAAGCTATGGCAGGGCGCAGAAACCTTGTTGGCCCATAAGAATGTCTAAGCGCTTTTACAAAGCAACGTTACACTCGTTATAGCTTGACCAGAATAATGTCTTTAGTGCGTATATCTAGCTTCGACATAAAGAACCTTAGTGAAACCTAACAGAGACGGTAATAAATATTAATCGATCGGATAAAACAAAGCAATGATTAAAATCTAAAAAAAGAAAAACTATAGTATTTCAGATATTTTGCTATCTTCTCTTAACCTTGCATATAGACACATAAGTTGTTAACGGCACAAACTATGCCGCTTTCAACTTTTGTCAGCGACATATTTTTTCTATCGTAGAAAGCCATTTTAAATACCTCGAGAGCCGAGTTTGTGTCGCAACCACTTTAGGAATGTGAGTCTATGCAAGACTATGTATACGTCGCTTTAAATCGCGACAAATGTATCCTTGTGCTAGTTTATGCCATTCCAAGCGTTGCAAAGAAAGGTCCCCAGCTGTTGAAGGCTCAAAAGCTTATATCAGGTATACTTGACAGCGTAGCGGTTGTTGAAAAACTATTCTACACGTAAATATGTAGAGGTAGTGGTTACGCCATCTCTCCATATTTACCTGAGAGGATAAATACAACAAGACAATATAATATTATAAAGCTATCTCGACTATCTATCCATCCTCAAATATATAACTAAGATTAATTTAACTCACACCAAATATCGTTGTTTGTACTCTTGGCCTAGTACGGTAATTTATATTGTCCTTTTTGTGTATTGTAATTCATTATATTATAATTTGCGTTTTCGGCGAATACCAATCGCACAGGGGCAGCAGGTGGAGAGACAAAACCAACTATGAAAAAAAAAACAATAATATTTACAATAACAGGCAAAAAATGTATATATATATATATATTCGATAGCTAGTATAAGAAGTATAAAGGAAACAAAATGGCACGCGATATTATTTAGACACAGTTTATAACGAAGGTTTTTCTTGACACAGTCATAGATCAGATTGCAGCCTTCAGCACCTCCATGTCATACAAATCTCTCCCCTAGAGTGAACCGTTGATTAAAAGCAAAAAATTAACTTCTTTGAAATTAAATTTCTGCTTGCGTAAATTAATAACACGTAAATGAAGTTAGCCAAACAAGCAATCAGAACTGAGTATTAAACCTGTTTATTCATTTCTGTCAGCTTGAAACAAAACTGTTGACTGATACAAATTTCTGTTTGAAACAATTTATCAATTGGGCGTGCCCTCGGACACTTTGAAAACAACAAAAAAATAAGCCCGTCAACACAAAGGTATGTGGTTAACGTAACTTCGATTATATTAAACAACAAGAAGTTTCAAGGACCGCTTTTTGGTTGACAACGGCCTGATGCATACCGTGTGTACTTCATCGTACAGGAGCGCGATTTAGAAAAGTCGTATCTGTATTAATTCTAATTTTCAACAGCCAACAGGCGATGGCATTCCCTGTCTACCAGGGAACTCGGGCAGTTGCAAAGCTACCCTCTAAGCGAAGCACGAAGATAGAAGGATCAATAACGAGTACTAGCCAAACTTTTACTGGAGGCGATTTCCCGGCCATTCTAGTTCCTGCCCTAACACTTAAAGGTGTCGATATCTCGTGACGGTAAAAATCGTGCTTGTGCCAATCTGTGGCCTCGTTTCTGAAACAACGAACTGCCGGCATAGTGGCCAGCTAAACATGCATTAGTGCCTCAGACAAACTCGCCTGTAGGTGTCGACACTGTTTCGATCGACTAGCGAGGAACGGGTAGGTACACCCCGCCTATGGCCAACTGCTGGGGCAAATATCCCGGATGTTTCTCAAGGTAAAGCGGGAGATGCCGACAAAACGGGTAGACAGAGACAAAGGTATAGCAAAGGACTGTACGAAATGCCAACGGAAGATACCGTTATGGCCGTGTGACGGGCGCTGACCAGGTTCACATATTCTCCATCTCTCTGGAAATGAGATTTGTACGGGCCCTTTCTCCTCGACAGTGCCTCATTTTTACCTGCTTGCACTGTGCAAACCTGTGCGACGGCTGGAGAGACGTTCAGACGGAATAGTCTGTCCGGCACTCTGGTGTTGAATGGACGTTCTCAAAAACGAACTTGCAGTTACGAACTCTATATGGGTAACACTTTTTAAGTTTTTACACAACGTAGACAGTGGCAGACATCAGGAGCATGGGTTCGGCAAGTTATAAAATTATAGGGGCTATATAATACCATAACATATATATATAAAATCATAGTGTAAGTACACTCGCTTAACTAGATTAATAGACATGGAGGTGCTATACAACAGATAAAACCCATTCTGTCGTTATACTCGTTAAGGGGAGATGTACGACCGAATTAAATACAAGAAACGCTACTGCATATTAGCTGGGTTGTCATGGCTGTATCGATGTTGTTAGATAAATATTGTATAGAATAGAAATAACACGAAGTACCCGGACATCACTCAATTGCCTTAGCGTTAAAAAAAAGTGGACAGATTTAAGAAACCAATACGATGATCTTGAGTGCTTATAAAGAATTATATAACAAGTAATTAGCCATAGTTTGTTTTCGAATGGAAACTTATTCTACGTTAATGGTATGAATAGGATGACTTAGGTTATATACCACTAATAAATAAATAAGAATAGAAAGTATTTTCATATATCTATACATACATGCACTGCATGTACATCCTGACCATTTTAAAAACCATTTTTCTCATTGTTTTACATGTAGGCTTGCTTTGATGGGAAAACAGTATCGTGAAAACGATATTTTTTGGGATTAAAAGTTAAAGGAGTCTTTTTTCTTTTTGAGCAATTTCCTCGGTAAAGATTGATTTTGATGATAAGAGAAGGTGAAACAATTTACGTTTGTCATAGAACTTATTGTGGTGCCTTTTTTTTTTTTTTTTTTTTTGCAAGAAACAATTTTAAAAACTATTAATGTTTTTACTTCGCCTACAAGGTTTAGTCTCCAACATAATATCTACACAGAATCTGGAAGGTTAAGGCCTATCTATCTTTAGAATAGTTGAAAAGGCGTAACGGCTAAAATGCCACTGGAAAATAGTAGTAACATCTGAATCAGAAATGTACGACACTACAGACAGACGATAGATAGAATATCTGAATAAGCGAAGCAAACCAATAGTAATTGCAACGAGTAACGTAGGTAGTTCACTATGGTAGTAACGCTGGACGGATTCAGAATTTTGCAGCAGACTAAACAGCACCTGTAGTGTTAGATAGTGGTAGATGTATGTACGTACTATGTAGACAAAAAGGGATAAATAAATCCGGACACTCAGAAGACTGAGGTCACAGATGTATGGTGCTATTTGTTATCATATAGGTCAAGTGTGGGCTGTGGTCGTCCGATACGAAAATTAATAATATCAATATAAAGAAAAATAGATCATAACTATACTACATAGTAAAGCATCCTTATCGCAAAGCAGAGAAAAAGCTCTTTTCCTATTAATTATATTATGGAAATTCAAGCAAGTCCCATTTACTAGGTAGAGAATACAGACTCGAAGCGCTTCACTAAATGGATTCGACTCAGTAGACTCTAGTAGATACTCTAGTAGGACACCATCCGGATTCATGTGGTCAAAAAGGTCAAGGCTACTGAGCATTCGGGAGCTTTTGCTTGCATCAAATACTTTGTTTAGGCAGCAGAAGAATACACATATCAGACTAGAACGAAGATGGCCTGGTGGGTGGGAAAACAGACTAGCTAAAGGGGTATTGGTGACAATTTCGGATGCTTGAAGCTGTTCAACTAAAAATATTCACTGACCAGAGTAGGGCGGGGCGGGGGGAGAGCGGGTGTAAGAGAGAAGGGGTAAAATCGAAGGATAGGTCTTGATTGCAATACCGTACGTGCGCACACACACACACACACACACACACACACACACACACTTTTCATTCGAATAGAAGTTCGCAGAATAAAATAAAAGAGAAGAGAAACGTTGAGAGAATCAGAACCAAGGAAGCAATCTGAAGAAACATATCAACTATGTTTGGCTAAGTGGGATCGTTTGTAC